CATAAACTGCTGAGGTGCTTTTTGGCTGTGTGTGTGTGTGTGCGCGTGCGTGGGTGTGTGTTTTGAGGACTGAACCTAGTCCTATGCTGTTACTCTTGGCCTGCATTTTTGAAGCACTTTAAATGTAGAGTGACGGGGACTGCGGATGTAGCTCAGTGGCTCCGTGCTTGCCTGGCAAGCACAAGATCCTGAATTCAATCCCCAGTAATAAGTGGGGCAGTGGGGGCAGCACTTCGGCAGCACATATACTAAATGTAGAGTGGTGAAGTATTGTCAGTATGATTTCGTTTTGTCAGTAGCATTTCTGGATTGTGGACCTATCCCGATTTTTTTCTTAAACTCATTTCCAGGTGTGGTTGCTCACAGCTCATGGTTGAGGCCTGAGTTACTGGAAGATGGGAATCAGATCTTTCTCTTTGTCCTATGGCTGAGAATTCCAAATCTAAGGCATAAATCCCTCATACTCTAGCGCAGTTCCTGTCAGAAGTTCCCTATTTCTGAGGGGAATCTTTCTTACTTCAGTGGATAGGCATGGAAAACACTGTTTCCAGATTGTGTGTGTAAAGCCCAAAAACAACCTCTGGACAAGCAGACCTTCTGTCTTAGACTTACTAAGACTTTCCTAAAATGCCTTTTTGGCATTATTCTGTTCTAGATCCCAAGTCAAATCATGAAAGTTATTTTTAGGAACCAGTGTCTTATGCATTTTTCAATTTATATTGTAATCATGTTTGCATTCAGGTTGGTGAGGTACAAACATTGCCATGTTCCTACAGAAGCTCAGGATTCCTTTAAAATGTTTTATAGAATATCAACCAGAAAACAAGGGACGGCGTATGTCCTGTACTCCTACTAGTGCTGCGACAAAGTGCCTCAAATGGGGTGGTTTAACACCACACAAGTGAACTGTGGCATGGTTCTAGAAGCCTGAAATCGGCATGTTGGCATGCTCCCTCAGAACTCTGGGGAGTCCTTTTTATAGCCTTGGGAAGTGGCAGCAGCCTTGGCCAAAGATCTTGTCACCAGATAAAGTCACATTCTGATGCTGTGGCCAGATCTGACTTTTGGGGGGATACTTCAGTATAGCCAACCCTTTATTCCCCCAGTTCACTGTTTATTCCATGGGCAAGATACACTCTTCCCATCTCAGTACCCTCAAAGATCAATTTTTCTTTCCTTCCCTCCCTCCCTTCCTTCCTTTCTGTCTCACTATGTAGTCTCAAACTCAGGGCATTCCTCCTGCCTCAGCCTCCTGAGTGCTGTATTACAAGCATGCACCACCACCAACAACAACAGAAACAAAAACACAATAAAGAAAAAATTCAGCATTAACTCTAAATAAAAATATCTATCAACTCAAAAGTTTTAATTCTCGTCATCAAGACCATGTAAATCATATGAGTTAGAGCTGTCCTAAGGGAAAATTCTCACCTATGGACCTGTGAAACTAGAAAACAAGTTACCTGTCCGCAGCATACAATGATGGGTGCTGTGGTTTAGTGTCCCTCTAAGCTAGGTGTGATGGCACCAGTGGGCCCAGCTAGTCTGGAGAAGATGATTTGAGCCCAGGAGTCTGGACCCCATCTCGGAAAAAAGAAAAAGAATGTGTCCCGTCCAAAACATGTTGAGGCTGGCATGGTGGCACACACCTGTAATTCCAGCACTCAGGAGGCTGAGGTAGGAGGAGGATCACTGTGCGGTGGAGACCAGCTTGAGCAACATAGTGAGTTCAAGACCAGCCTGAATTATATAGTGAGACCGTGTCTCAAACCACTCCCCATCCCAGAAATTTCGTGTGGAAACTTAACCCCTATCATGAAGGTACTGTATTGAGGTAGGGCCTTTAGGAGCTGAGGCCATGGGTGTTTGAAGGGCCCAAGGGAACTAACAGCTTCCTTTCACTTCTTGCTTCTCTACTGTGTGAGGACTCACCAGACAACTAATGCTAGTGCCTTCGTGTTTTTGTTTTGGTATCGGGGATGGAACTCAGGTCCTTGCAAGGCAGGTGGCGGAACCGCTGAGCTAAATCCCGGGCCCGCTAGTGCCTTCGTCTTGAACTTCCAAATCTCCACAACCGAGAAATACATTTCGCTATATAAATTACCCAATCTCAGGTATTCAGTTACAGCAACACAGACAAATGAAGATGGGGGAGGAGTGCATAGGATAGAGATTTCCGTGATGGGAGGCATGGTTGGTGAAGTTTGAAAGCCAACAGATCGAGCCATTGACTTTCAAGGACCAAGTGATCTGAATCATCCAGCTCCATTCAGGCTCCCGCCTTAGCTGTACCCTCCGGGTCAGTGGCTTCCTTCACTTTTCCTTTCTCTGTCCCTTTGCATCCAGGCTGCCAGTTTTTCTGCTGGTCTAAAGTTTCCCAAAATTGGTAGATGTGAGACTTCCCACTGAGCCACCTGGATAACCCTGTTGGCGCCTGTTCTGCTGAGAGGGTCCATGAAGCCTGCACCTAATCCCTCTGGCAAATGCTTGTCCAAACAGGCTTGCTGTCCCCAGCAGAGCACACCTTCTCATCTGTAATACAGTTAGGCTGAGAATATTCCAAAATCACTAAAGCTGGTTCTTTTTTGCTTAATTCTTACCTCAATTTTTATATCTTTTCTTGCATTTTAACATAAGCAGGAAGGAGAAATCAAGTTTTTGTTTCCAAATTTAGCTTAGAAATCTCAGTAAACGCCCAAGTTCATCAGCAACAAGTTCAACTTTGCTTGCCACACAGAACACAAGTTTGGCCAAGTTTTCTACCACTTTATAACATGTCCAGTAACACGATCTAATTTCCTTTGGAGGTCTCACTTTTAATGTTCATATTTGTACCAACATTATGTGTTGTCTAAGGTAAGAAGCACTCTATATTGACTATTTGGTCCTAATCCCCTACCACAATAACCTGTCCCCAGTGCTCTGCCCATTACCCAATTCATATGTTTATTTGTCATAGCCTCATCCCACTTCCCAGTATCAAATGTTTGTTTCCTTAGTTTCTTGTAATGAATTACCACAAAAGGGTGATTTAAAAAAAATCTAAACATAGGGAACTCTGCCTCCTAATTAATAATAAAAAAATAGGATAGAAGGCCCCTGGATTAAATGCTCTCTACTGAACAAAGCAAACGGTGTTGGGGGGGGGAGACTTATACTAGGGCTGGGGGTGTAGCTCAGTTGTTGGAGCTCTTGCCTAGGAGTTGAGGCCCTGGCTTTCAATCCTCAGCAAGACTTGTAAATCGCAAGGATAGCTTCAGTCAAAATTTCGCCACTAGATGGAGGTATTGGCTGTTTCCTTGACAAGTGTGGTCAACTCCTTTATGAAAGATGTAATTCTTAATATAATTATAGGGGTAGAATAATAGCTCAGTGGCAGAGCATTGCCTAGTTGCTTGAGGCCCTGGGTGGATCTCCAACACCTCCTTATGTCCAGACACTATCATTACCTACTGTGAAAGGAAATCAGAATCCAAAACCATAAATTCAGATATATTTTTGCGCCAGGTGTGGCAGTGCATGCCTGTAATCCCAGCACTTGGGAGGCTGAGACAGGAGTATCAGCCTGGTTTTGAGGCCACCTTGGGGTACATAGTGAGTTCAAGGCCAGCCTGAACCACTTAGGGAGATCCTAATATATATTTTTGTTTGTTTTTGTTTTAGGTTTTATACTTTTGAGACAGGATCTTGCTTTGTACTTCAGGCTGATCTTGAATTAACTGTAGCCCCGTCTGGCCTTCAACTCATGTCAGTTGTCCTGCCTCAGCCTCTTGAGTGCTGGGATCACGGATGTGCACCACCATGCCTGGTCCAATTTAACATTTATTTCACTTGTTTTATTTGTATTGGGCATTGAACCTGAGACTGCTGAAGTACATACATCTTCAGGCCTTTTTATTTTTTTATTTTGAGACAGTCTCACTTGTCCAGGTTGGACTCAAATGTGCCTCCTTTTGCCTCATCCTGTCTCAGTGGCCAAGATTACCTGTCTGGGCTAACAAGATGTCTCTAGATAATTTTTAAAAACGTTTGGCAGTATTGAGCTTTCACACTAAGCTACATGCCCAGCCCTGTTTATAGTTTATTTAACGACAAGGTCTTGCTAAATTGCTCAGGTAAGACTCGAATTTGCAATCTTTCTACCTCAGCCTCAGAATGGTAGGAATACGGAAGTGCATCACCACGTCCAGCTTCTAGATTCTTAAATGAATTTACTAGCTACATTTTAACCCACAAACATTGTGGCTAAATGAGAGCCTTGTGTGGTGGCCTACGCCTATAACCCGCTTTAAATTTCCCCCGTGACAGTACTAATAGCTAACATCTATGTTGTTCTCCAGGAAATGTCTAGGAAAACAATGAAATATAATGATACTGTGTTAGTTCAGTCCACTTCTGTGCAATCATGGACAAAAAAGTTAATTTCTTTTCATCTGTTACTTTCCTCTGTTGAAGCTTGGATAGAAGCTGATGCACAGATTTCGGTGAAGGTTAATCTAATTTTTAATTGTTTAATACAGTTTCGCTATTAACAGGTTATTGTATCCCTGTCTCCCTTGGTCTACTGAAAGACAACTGCAAGACTCTCTCAACATAAATTAAAAGCTCACTGGATTGCCTGAAAGATATTCATGCATTTCCTTTGTTAAGCTTTGAGTACACGTGAGAAAGGCGGGCTCAGTGAACGGAAAGGTTTGGATTACGCAGGAACCAGTGGCTTCGTGTGGTGGAAATGAGAACCGGCGGCGGGTCAGGTGTTTCTCGTCTGAAGTGCCCGGGCACCAGCCACGTTGGTGTTTTTCTCAGTTTTTTACCAGAACCCCATTTCGGAGGCCCGGTGACTGGC